TGTCCAGGAGGCCCCTGGCTTGTGACCCGGACAGCCACTCGCTCCTGCTCCAGGTGCCTGAATGGCCAGTATCGCTTTACATAGCTGCCACGAGTTCTTCCCTAAAAGATGCAAACTGCTGACCATGCCAAGCAGGCGTTATGATGGACACCTGCTGGAAAAGGCTGTTCTCCGGCCTCTCTCCTGAGCTCAATAAGGCTTCATTTTAAAAAGGGAGGGGGGGAACGGAGAGAAGATTTTGGCCACTGTGCTTCATTTTAATAAGACGGTCCCAAGGCTCCCCTCACTTATTTTTAAGTTTCTTTGACACAGCAGGGTCTTGTGCTACAGTCTCCTCCCAGCCTTACCAGCCAGCCGGGATCTGAACCCTGGGCCTTCCCATAAGGCTCCGGTTCTGTGCAACAGCATCCTGGCGCCTACACCACCTCTCTTTTTTTAAAAAAGGACCTGCTAGGGGACCAGCAGATGGCATAATGATTATGTCACTGGCCTCACAGTAGTCAACTGTGTTTCGAGTTTCGGACCCAGCGGCTTAAAACATGTATGTGCGTGCTCAACATTCTGAGAGGAGAATGGAGGAGGGATTGTGGTGTGGCCATCCCTGCTGGGGGTGATTTCTTGCTTTCTGTCTGTCTCTGTCTCTCCAGTAAACACATGTGCCCTATAGCAAACATCTCTCTAAAAAATAAAAAAGAACCTGCCAACAGGTACTCTGGCCGACAATACACCGACAGGTCTGTCTGGCTTCCCTTCGTCCCTTCCTCACTATGTTTCAACCAGTCTCCCAGCATTCGCGCCCAACATTAGAGTCAAGGACTGGCCTCCTGCACCTGCGAAGGGTCAGCTCCCAGATTGCCCTTGGAGATGGCCCGCCTGGTGAGCTGTTGCTGTAATAAGGTCTTACATTTCCCCCTCCTGATGGGCGCCCTGAGTCATGAGCTGACATGGAGATGGAGCAGTGGTCTCGGCAGACGCCTCCGCCCTGCTGGAGCCCAAGACCAGTGACCTGCGCTGCCCTCCCCGCTCAAGCCATCCATCAGCCTTCACTGCATGCTGTAAGTCAGAGCAGTGGGGCGGACAGCTGTCAGAGACGAACCAGGGACGGAACGAGAGCTTAATGCAATTTTATTTTGAAAATATGGCAAGAGTCTAAGGCACTTCAAACATTTAAATACATAGAGGGCCAAAGTAAATGTGACATGACATAAAGGGATCCATAAATACAGAGAGCCACACTAAGTTTCTCTAGAGGCAAACACATGGCCAATTCCTCTAACAGAATTCGATGTTTCTCATTAGGTACAGACAGAACTGTGCAATTACTAATAAAAATATGGTAACGTTACATGCCATTCTTCATGTCTTTAATTACTGTGGAATATAAAAGTTGAAAATACTGTGTCAATTTCATGTAGATACCTTTTATAGAAAAAGTCATATAATACAACTACCTGGTAAAACCGAGTATGTTTCCTTTCGTAATTTTTGTATTTTCTCAGAGCTCCATATTCTATGTTTAATGCACAAACTATCAGGCCAGATCAAACTGCTGATGAGCAAAGACATACAACTTCCTTACCTTAAAATAATAAAGATAAAAAAGAAAATCAACGAAACCATCCTGGAATGGAATTTTAGGAGCGCTGTCCAGTGGCTCCACATCTGGTACACACACGCATCTGTGGGAAAATGTGTCGACACGGTGCCAGCGCAGACCTGCAGCTTCTCTGTGATTGGGGGGCAGGAACAGAGGTGCCTGTTCGGGTCAGGTCACGAGGTCCTTGACTGTACGTAACGGGGCAGAGGCTCAACAGCGGCAGAGGCTGGGGTTCAAGTGTGCCCTCCACAGAGAGGAGGTGGCCAGGAAGGAGGCGTCGATGCCCGGCTGGCGCTCTCCCACTGGCTCCGCGTACGCGAGGAAAGCCTTGAACCCGTGGCTTTCTGCTTCTGTCTGCTGGTGAGCTCGGGCACAGCACGTATACATTCAGTATCTGTCACCCCAACAGGAATGGTAGCAGCTATGGTGGCACGTCAACGAGGGCTATTTGGACGTTCTCAATCAAGTGAACCTCGGTGGGTGGGGCCAGGAGATGTCTTCCTTCCAAGCCTTGGGGTGCCCTGGAGATTCGCAAAGGAAAAACATGGGGGTTAATGAGTGACCTCAGGCTGATGTGTCCCTTGTGACACAGGAACTTGGTCTACCATGGCTGACGACCACCTGCGAGCCAGAGCCAGGAGTGTTCTGGCTGAGAGCGTGGGGCGGAAGGCCAGCAGCAGGTCCTGTTCCATGGCCAGCGCCTCAGCAGTGCCAGGCCCAGCTCTCCTGGATGTCACCTCCCGCCCCGAGTGAACTCTGGGACCTGGCTGCCCGCCGTCTGCTCCAGCAGCAATGCCAGGAGCATGGCGTGTGTGTCCAAGGCTCAGGTGGCCGTGGGGATCATTCTGCACACTGTCAGCCTCCACATGAAGAGGTGAGAGTCACCATCTCCATGGACAGGCAGGGCCCAGCCTTTGCTAAGCAGGAGCTCTCCTGACCTTCAGAGCGGGGCAGAAACGATGAACTTTTTTTTAAAAAAAGAATTATTTTAACTTATTTTATTTTAATTTATTTAATTAATTTATTTAAATTTGACCAGGGGGACGGGGAGAGAGATGGAAAGTGAGAAAGTAAGCCGTCAGGTCCAGGACTTGAACTTGCGGCCGGGCACATGGGAGCCCAGCACCCTTAACTACCATACCACTTGCCGGCCCCAAGAAACGATGACTCTTATACCCCAGACTAAAACTTCCCAATTCAGAATCAGCATAAAAATCTGTATCTCCTGTCAGTTCCTGACGAAGGGGGTCTGCCGCTCCGAGGGATTTCAGCCTAGGTACAAGTGCCACGTGCATGCCACTGACCGGAGACTGGGCCTTCGCGAAGTTGACATGGGCATACAGAAGAACGGCGATGTCCTTGTGTCCTGCCTCCAGGGCTATGGAGAGTGCAGTGCTGCCATCCTTAAGACAAGACAGAAAGAATAAACCATCAGGCTTCCAGGTGGACAAGAGCAGCAGAGGAAAACGCTCTCCCGTGGTGATGACCTTCCCGGAGACGGTCACGTTCTGTTCTTTAGGAACCGTGTGTAGATTTCTAAGGTGGAGGCTGAGGACACCGAGAGCAGTGAGGGCCACCACCACAGTCAACAGGAGAGTCCCCTACCCTTTTGTCTTGGCCTTACAGTGAGCTCTGTGGACACAGGCAGGTCTGTGCAACAAGGCTAGGCAGCCCACGAAGAACTCTTATTCAACCAGAAAGGGGCAGAAGGAGAAGACAGGGCGTAGGGGTGAGCACAGAAACAGAATTCGTTTCTTTGTTCTAATAACTACCAGGCAAGTACTGTGGTGTTTGGAGCTTCTGCAATTTGCCAGAGACCCCTCAACCTTCCTTTTGGTGAGTGATCCCAAAGCCCTCAGCACCTCTACCTAACGCTACAGGCAACCCGGATCTATGAGGCCTTGACCACGGCGGCACGCATGCATGTATATGGAACTACGCGGGGGACACTACACATGGGAAAGCAAATACTTCAGTTAACTGCTTCCCACTGGCCTGTAGGGATTTAGGAGAATATAAAGCAGTGTGGAGGCCAAGAGCAGCATGACTTCATTTTTGTCTAGTCTTAAAATAAGGATTCCTTCTGGTCATCAGCAGCAGGAAATGGTTCGCATGTGGTTTGAGCCATGCGGCTCTGCCCTCCCACGCTGTGAACTCTGGGAGCAGCTTTGCTTCATGAGGTCGGTTCTCCTACTCCTTGAAGGATAAGGAAGGAGGCAATTAGCTGAGGTGGCCAGGATTTCTGGAAGTCACTGTGGTTCCTTGGCCTCTTATTAGAGTATCTATAAGCGTTTCTCTGCTGAGAGCAGAGGTCACAGCAAACAGATCCCTACACCATCTACCGCGTCCTCGAGGTGACACTAGAGCAGTCCGGTTCAAGCGCAGCTCGTGTGTTCTACAGGGTGCCCGAGACTGCAGAGGCGAGTCAGTCCCTCAGGCCAGGAAGACTGGCCCTAGTCTGCTCTTCCTACTGCCTCAGGCCTGGGGGGGTCTGACGCTTAGTGTGAAGAGGATGTTTTCCTTTAACTTTTTTGGTGTTTTGACCTTAAGAAAGCTCTAGTCCAAACCTGTGCTCCACAGAGAAAAACCTGCCCAGACAGAACCAATGCAGCCCAGACTCTGACCTCTGAACTATTTCACCACCCAGGCTTGTCCGGTGCCTTCTACCTACTGGAATTCCTCCTGTTGGTCTGGAGATGCCCAGAAGTATGCCTCTTCCTCGGGTTTCCCAGTCCAGGGGTGATTTGGAAAAAGGAACAGTTTGGGAAGTAAGGTGGTAGCTAGTGGTGGCATTCTGCACACCCACGCTTAGGAGATGTCACAAGTCACTTACTGTCTGAGCATGGAGGATCCTCTGCCTGTCTTGTATCTAGGTGGGTTACCCAACACCCCCAGCTTCTTTCTAAGAATTATTTTATTGAACATTAATTAATTAATGAGAATTTGACCAGAGAGGGACAGAGTGAGAGAGAGAAAGAGAGAGAGAGAGAGAGAGAGAGAGAGAGAGAGAGAGAGAGAGAAAGCCGCCAGGTCCAAGACTTGAACCATGGTCGGCCATGTGGGAGTCCAGCACCCTTAACCACCACACCACCTGCTGGCCCTACCACCCCAGCTACTAATGACTGACAATCCAGACTTCCAAATGGACCAGGGAAATAGCCTTCTCCCACTGGTGGATTTAGCAGAGGGTGCCAACACTGGATTTGATTTTGTAGCACAGATCTGTTATCTGCCTTTAGATAGTGGTTCTCATCCATGCCCATTAAATTGCCTTCCTCCTTTTATCAATGTGGGGTGAGGCCTATTTATCTCCTACCTGCACCCTTAGGACACTGGCCTGGAGGCCCAGCGGAGACACTCACGTTGTCCTCTAAGTGGCCGTTGCAGCCCGGCTGGGCCAGTAGCAGCTTGACGATCTCCACATGCCCATGCTCACTGGCACACATCAGGGCCGTGGAGCCCTCGTCATCCTGGATATTGACGTCGGCCCCACAAGCCAGCAGGCCCTTCACCATGTCTATCCGCCCATGACTGACCGCCAGCATGAGGGCCGTCTGCCCTGCCTGTGGGAAGAGGTGACAGTGGACTCAGATGCACCTACTAAGCTGGGAGGGGTGGCCTGGGGGAAGAGGGGTGTTATGACAGAGGGGAATAAAGTGGATGTGGAATTACGGCAATGTGGAAATCAGTTTCTTATGAATTACGAGCTGGGGAAGACCACAAAGGAAGAAATCGAGCTTTCTCATTAACTTGGAGGACCTGTGTCATCATGGCAAGGTGCTCTGAAGTCTGGAAGATATTCACAAGTCAGATGTGAACACGTCTGGACCCAGGACACTCTGTTTGGCATGAAGGCACTCCATAGAGACAGAAAGTGAGAGTCACTGGGAATATGCTGGGGACTCCCGGCCCCTCACAGGCAGGCAGACTTACACACAGACTGCGAGGAAAGGCAAAGCAGAGGAGAAGAAGGCCTCAGTGTGGAAATCTGGGCCCCGTTTCACTGCCGTGTCTGGTGAGCAAGGACCACCAGTCAGTGCATGGAACAGGCAGGCCCAATGAGCAAGGATACTGTGGAGACATGGGTGGGACCAAAGCCTTCTCCATCAGCAAGGTCACTGCAGGCCTGGCTGCTGCAGCGCTAGTGTTAGGGCTGCTCTGGCCAGCACGGGAAGCGGGGGCACTAACCTGACTGGCCTTGGCGTTCACATCCCCGCAGCTGAAGAGTTCTTCCACAACCCGCATGTCCTTCTCTGCTTCCACAGCAGCCAGAGCTGCCAGCATGATGGGAGTGTACCCCGCTTTGTTCTGGTGATCCACGTCACACACGTCTGTAAAGAAATGCATCTCTTTAGGGAGGAGCTGTCTGCAAATGACAGCAGCGCTGTACTTAGGAGCCGAAGGTCTGGGGTTTAGAGAACCCACAGAAACAGGGCTGGATGGTCAGAGACCAAGAGTGACTTGGACATAAAAAGGGTGAGATATATATATATTTTTTTTTTTTTTGAGAGGTTTTTGCTATAGGGCGCGTGCGCTCGCCAGAAAGAGACAGAGAGACAGAAAGGGAGAAATCACTCCCCAGGGGGAATGGCCATGCTGCAATCCCTTCTCCTCCATTCTCCTTTCGGGATCTTGGGCACGAATGCACATGCACCCAGTGTGAGTTTTAACCCACCGGGTCCGGGATGCGAACTGCAGTTGACTACATGGGAGTCCAGCGACATAGCCATTACGCTAACTGCTAGTCCCAAAAGGGAGAGATGATTTTATACCAAACATTCACACCTTCCCTCCCACCCCCCATTTCATCAGGCCAGAAGCAACAAAAATGACAGTAACCTTTCAGACCAAGTCTTGTTTGCCACTGGTGCTTGAACTACACCTGCTTGGAGGTCTGAAAACTGTTCTAAACCAGGATAGCTGCTTAAGAGAATAAATGACAGTGCAGGACCTAGACACTTCAGCTGTGCTGAGGAACTCACTGCCTTGGAGTAAAGACAACGGAGAGAGCTACAAAGACAGAGGGGTTTATAAAGGCTTGTGCGTGGAACGCTGAATATGGTATTCCCACATAACACTCCACAGCTCTGAGGCCCTGAGTTTATGACTGCTCTAACATGTTTGGGGTCTTTAAAGCAGAATTCCAATCACATGACATCTAATTTTAGGTCTTGTGTTTTGAAAGCAAAGGCACTAAGTCCTCTGAGAAACTGCCAGGGACTAATGAACCCAATGAACCAGATTTTTTCTACTTCTGTAATTCTTACAGAGTCTTCATGCACAAACTATCCTCCAGACATTAAAAATATTTCCTTCAGCACTTTCCAATGGAATGTGGGGTTGGTGAATGTGGGAAGGCAGCTTTCATGTGTGACCAAATGTGTTAAGATGTCTAGGATGTTTCTACCACAAAGTAGTGAGAAGAGAAGGAAGGTGAAAACTCCATGTGTCCCAAGCAAGTGCATAAGGGTGTGATGGTATTTATGAAATAAAAAGCTTTTTATATAGAAAAGGAAAAAAGAAAAGGTGGTGTGATAGAGAAGCAGGTGAGCGCACATACTCTTTGAGGGCCCTCGCCATCTGGGATGCTCAGTTTGTCATGGATGCCAAAGCATCCTAGAGGACTTTATGGAGCCAGAATCTCAGCCTATCATGGTGAGCAGTGAAAAACAAATAAAGAAAAGTGACTGAAGTCGGCAGGTGGTGTGGAGGCTAAGGCACTGGACTCCCACAGGAACAACTATGGTTTGAGTCTTGGACCTGGCAACTTGAAAATCATGCCAGGCATGTGTGTGCATGTGCCTAAAATCCTGGGGAAGGATGGAGGAGAAGGGATTGTGATGTGGTCATCTTGCCTGGGGGGTGATTTCTCACTTTCTCTCTTAGTCTCTCTCTTTGATGAGTGCATGCATCTTATGGCAAAAGTCTAAAATCAATGAATCAATCCAGTAGAAAACACTTTAAAATAAAAAGGTGGAGACCAGCGGGTGGCAGGTGGTTAAGGGTACTGGACTCCCTTATGGCTGACAGCAGTTTGCATCCTGGACCTGGAGGCTTGCTTTCTTACTTTCTCTCTCTCTCTCTCTGGTCAAATTAAAATAAATAAAGTTAAATAGAAATAATTCTTTAAAAAAAATCCTCCCGGGACCAGCAGTTAGAGTAATGGCTATGTCGCTGGACTCCCATGTACTCGACCACGGTTCGCGTCCTGGACCTGGTGGCTTAAAACTCACGCCGGGTGTGTGT